AAGCTCCTTACATGTTGGAGCTGAAACCAGAAGTCCCACTAACGTCTTTAATAGTAGGATGATTTTTTTGTAATTTATACACGTAGTTGTTGCAATGAGAGTGACGATCAGCCAACTATACCATCTACTTCCTAGCAGCAAAAGACTCCCACCTCCCTCCATTGCCCTTACATAAGCTTTTCTCAACCAGTCCTCTACTAGAGAGTTAAGTGCTATAGAAAATGATTTAAACAACTATTTTCCCAATTCTGCCAAGGATGCTACATAGCCAGTACCAATCTAGATGCAATGGAGTTAATTTATTACATAAAATAGATGCCTTAGCCACTTTACCCCTTAATATTTCAATGTATATTTCCTAGAATAAGGATATTTTCTTACATAACTGCAAAACAGTTATCACATTCAGGAAATTCAACATTCATACAATATTTTTATATAATCTACCATCAATAGTCCAGTTTTCTCAATTGTCTCAATAATTTTTTTGCTCCAAAACAATTCTGATCTAGATCATATATTCATTTAGTTGTCATATATCTTTTTAGTCTCTCTTTCGACCTAAAACAGTTCCTCAGGCTTTCTTGGATTTCATGACATTGACATTTTCTTAAGAATTCTGGCCAATTGTCACTTTTTTAATAGCATGTTTCTGATTTTGGTTTTGTCTGATGCTTCCTCATGATTAAATTCAGATTATGCATCCTAGCCATAATACTACATGAGATGTTGTATCCTTCACATAGGGTATGTCAGGTGTTAGTTTTGGTCACTCAGTCAAGGTTATTGACTTGTACTCTACCAAATAGTTAAGACCATACAAATATCCTGCTCCTCATCAAACCTCTCCTCAATCCTGACCCCAGATTTTTAACCCACTGATGATTCTTGCCCAATCAATCTTCACTATGATTACTGGAATGATTCTCTAACTTCACTGCTCATGGCACATTAGTCAGCATTCTATTATATAGAAAAGTCCTCCCTCTCCCCTTTATATCTATCTATCTATCTATCTATCTATCTATCTATCTATCTATCTATCTATCTATCTATCTATCATCAGTATGGACTCCACGCCTTCCCATTTCTTCAGTGGTTCATTACTGTCCTTAGTTATTTTCACGCTCAACTACCCCCAGTGTTGGCCAGTAGGAGCTTCTATAAACTAGCTCCTGGGATCTTTTGACATGTTCCCACCATTGTTTTTTTTTGAACAGTTCCTTGGTTTCTGGTAACTTGAAGATGTTCCAGGTTCAGATACTGTCTCTTCCCCAGCCCCTGAGGTCAGCCCTGGCTCCTTTTGGTAAGGAATGGTGCTAGACAACAAGAATGAGTGCCAGGTGTACTCACTGCTATAAGGGGAAGTTCGAGTCTAGATCTGTCATATCCAACTTGGTAGCCATTATCCACACGTGGCAATTTAAATCAAAATTAATAAATATAAAACAAATTAAAAATTCAGTTCCTCTGTTCCACTAGCCATACTTCGTGTGCTCAAGAGTTACATGTATTTAGTAGCTACTGTACTGGACACCACCGATATTTATAGAACATTTCCATCATTACAGAAAGTTCCATGGGATATAACTGTTCTAGACCCTTTCACAAGGCAAATCGAGAAAACATACACACACACACACACACACACACACACTCACAAGTCCTCACTCTCCACTGCCCTCTAAATATCTTCCTGTGTTCTACTACATTAATTCTTCCGCACATTAAACAATTATCTGCTGAGCATATACTATTGAACAGTTACTGTTTAAGGCCCTGTAGGTTCAGGAATACAGCAGTGTCCCTTTATGCGTGGGGAATACGTTCCAAGGACCCCCGTGGATGCCTGAAACCACAGATATAATACCAAACTCTCTATATATAATATGTTTTTTCCTATACAGGCATACTTCTTTTATTGCACTTCACTTTATTGAGCTTCACAGACATTGCGTTTTTTATAAGACCCTCCACCAGCAAAAAGATTCAAAACCGCTGAAGGCTCAGATGATGGTTAGCATTTTTTAGTAATAAAGTATTTTTTAATTAAGGTATGTACATTGTTATTTTAGATATAATGCTACTGCACTCTTAATAGACGACTACCGTATAGTGTAAACATAACTTTTATGTGTACCAGGAAACCACAACAATTGTGTGCCTTGCTTTATTGTGATATTCATTTTATTGCAGTGGTGTGGAGCCCAACCTGTAATATCTCTGAGCTATGCCTGTACGTACATACCTACAATAAAGTTTAATTTATAAATTAGGCACAGTAAGCTATTAACAATAACTAATAATAAATAGAACAATTATAACACTGTAATAAAATTTACCATAGATCTTAGCAACCTCAGCATATGATTTTTTTCCTTCCTTATTAAGTTAAAAACTCACCTTTTCACTTAAAGGAAGCACTTTACAGCTTTTCTGTGTCATATCCGAATTGCCAGCATCACTACTCTTGTGCTTTGGGGCAATTATTAAGTAAAATAGGGGTACCTGAACACAAGCACTACCATACCACAAGTGTCGATCTGATAACGGAGACGGCTACTGAGTGACTAACGGGCAGGGAGCGTATATGTACGCTGACCAAAGGGATGATTCACATCCCAGGAGGAACAGAGTGGGATGGCATGAAATTTCATCACGCTACTCAGAACGGCACAGAATTTAAAACTTATTAATTGTTTATTTCTGGAATTTTCCATTTAATATTTTCGGACCACAGTTAATTGTGGGTAACTGAAACTTCGGAAAGTGAAACTGCAAATAAGGGGGGACTATTGTATATAGTCCCTGTTCTCTAAAAACTTACAATGTAATGAGAGACAGAAAAATAAATGGATTATTACTATAAAATAATGAATTATTATTATAACACATGGTGTTGTGTCAATATGTACGCCATAGTGGGGATGTCAAGGAAGGCTTCCTGAGAGAAATGACGTTTATTAAGTTTAGAAAGGTAAATAACTATTATTGTGCCAATTGGGGAGATAAGTTGGAGGTGGGGCATTTACTATTCTCCATCATTTTTTTTATCTCTGTTCCAATTATTCACTTAAGATGCTTTCTTTATCTCCTCCATACCTTTTCAAAATTCTGTTTATCTTTCAGAGCCCATCTTTTCTGATGCATTTCTTAATACAGTCATGCATCGCTTAAGAATGGGGATACGTCCTGAGAAATGGGTCCTTAGGTTAGGTTATTCTGTCGTTGTGTGAACATCACAGAGTGTACTTACACAAACCTAGATGGTACAGCCTGCTACACACCCAGGCTGCATGGTACTAATCTTACGGAACCCGTCAAATATAGTCTGTCATTGACCAAAACGTCATTATGCAGTGCATGACTGTACCTCAAACCAGACAAAGCCCCTTCCCCAACCCCCAAATATATTGTCTTTACAGATTTCATGCACACACAAGATTCGGTTTATGTTTGCTGTTATCAATGTAATGGTAAGAACATGGGCTTTGGAATAAGACTTGTTGCTCACTAGCTGTGTGACCCTGGGCAAGTTACTTAATCTCCCTAAACCTCAATTTCTGCATCTAAAGGTGAGATTAATAATACCTCATCGTTACATGTTTGAGGATTAAATAAAATAATGTACTGAAAATGCTTCGCATTGTGACTAGAATATGATAAAATATTTGGTGTCCTAGCAACAATAATCTTACACTTGTTTCCTCCTTTGTTTGCTGAAAGTTTTAAATTTGTTTACACCTTTCCAGGCCAATCTTTACATTATCAATTATACGCAGTATTTTAGTAACAGCTAGCAAATCCCCTAAATTATTCAAGCAGGTTCCTTCCAGTCAGAATATTATGGCATATTCATATGTAAAATATTTTAGATAGTTCTATTTATAACTATGAAAATACAAAATCAATTTCATAAATGTTATTTATCTATTGCTTATAGCAACTTTAAATAAAAATCATTAAATAAAATATGATTTTTATGTATAAAAACTTTAGATAAAAATATTTTCCCATTAAAATGATTACATAAAATTTCTTAAAATTCTGAAATAAAAATTTAAAAAATATTTTCAAATTGGGGGAGCATGCTCATAAGAGCTGAACTACTAAATGGTAAAAATCAATCTATCAATAAAAACAAATTTATCAGAATCCATGTTCCTATTTATAAGTGGATCCTACAAAATCAAACTTAAAAATGGTTCCTAATGAAACACAGCATCTTGATTTTTATACAAATATATTTAAAATAGTTAATGTAGTAATAATCAGAAACACTATTAAATGACAGTATCAAGGAGAATTTCTTTCCTTTGACACATTAGTCAAAAATATAATAGAAAAAAAAAGCATGTCATATAATGAGCACTAGAGATAACTTATTTTGCCCTTCATCACAGTGTATTTAGATATGCATTGAAAGATATATACCTAACATTTTGCTAACAAATAAAAAATACACTCTCTAAATGAATGCTTCTAATGAAGTATATTTTATTTGTAAAAAGTGTAAGCATGGACATCTAAAATTGAATTGTTTATATTCTAGAAAAAAGAAAAGAAGCACGCACCAGGATTAACAAATACCAAACCTAAAAAGGAGAGCAATGTCATTTCCTCCAAAATAACAGAGAGCTGTGCAGGTTTTCTTTGCCAAGCAAAAGACAAATATGTAGTACACTTGTGTTTTCCTTATTACCTTTACCAGTAAAATTTTAAAATCACCTTGATATGTAATTTTCCTTCAAATTAGTTTAAGCATAATAATGGATTAAAAAAATGGAGATGGGAGAAGTTTCAGAATATACTGCTATGTTGAAAAAATTATTAAATTCTACTTATATATTGTCAATACCTATTAGGTCATTTATAAACTATATATTTAAAGCATTCTGGATGTAATTATTCTAAATAACTGTGTACAATCCATATCCTCATGTATGTGAAATACATTGATGGTAAAATCTTTGCTCATGTTTTCCCAAAGGCGACCTTACCTGCGGGGTCCAATAAAAAGTAGGGCTCAATCTGTAGAGTTTTCTTTTGTGGAAACTCTGAAGCGGCCTTGTTCGAGCTGCTGTACTCATGATAGTCAAGGATGGAGATTTCAATCTTGTCCTGTCTTTTCTCCTTTTCTTACTGTGCTTCTGGTTAAGTAACCAGCTACTGGAGGAAGAGAGCTCATCTAAATTCTCTGAAGCACTGAAATGCCATGAAATAATTGAGGAGTGGAGGGAATAAAACAAAACAAACAAACAAACAAAAAAGACAAAGAAAACTAAATGTAAATTGCCTTGATCTATTATGACAGAAGAGTATTAATTTTAGCCAATTTTGTGGTAACAAATGGTGAAAGAATCAATATTAATGGGGAATTACATATTCAAGTTGTGCAAATAATTTCTACTTCTATTTTCTCCTGCAAAACAAATATCCCATAGGTTAGAAATGATCATGAGTTCATTAATACAATGTAAATGTTCATTATAAATCAATAATTCATGTATATTACACAGTGTTGTAACTATTTACACCAAATTCTTTTTGCATACGGCTGAAACTACATAGGATTATGGGTTTAAAAAGGGCTAAAGTCTCATCACTGCATCATTAGTTGCTCTTCAATAAGCACTCTGTACCATTTCAGGGAATTCTGAAACAAAGATGCAATCCTACTATATTTTAGGAATTTTTTAAAATTCTGACGATACAGAAACCACAACTATAAAATAATGAAACAGATCATACAAACTACACATGAAAATAAGCATATTAACTTTATAATTATTCTTCATATTAATTTTTAAATATTTTATATATTTAAATATTTCAAAACATCAGAAGAAAGTGAATGCTCATTGCCACATAAATTTAATTTCATTTATATCAGTATATTACATACAAAATAATTAAGCTTTTCAGGCAGTATACGTACAATTTCAACCTTATTTATGTAGACAGAAGCTAGTCAATTTAGTATTCTAACATCAACATTTGAATCTGCTATATGTGATACTGGTAATCAACATGTTAAGCTCCAAATGTGCTATTTGAGTCAAGTAGAATCTGTGTTTAACAGTAAACACAAGATACCGTTTTCCTATAGTAGTATCATTGGTTTTGAATCATATTTATGGCTGCCATAAAATAGTCTATTAGCTTGTGGATAAAGCAAGTAATTAAAGAATGCTTTACAAAGCAATAAGAAACCAGAAATAAAGGTACCTGAATGGCTTATGTTGGTGAAACCAAAGAGAATTATTAAACATGGAATTTGGTGACTATCATACATTCAACAAATACATAGTTGGGTATGTACTATTGGCCAGACCAGTGTAGGGAAAAGAGCTGATGATAACTATTTCGCTTTTAAAACATTAACTTTAGTCTTCAGAGAGCTCTAGTCAAGAATGTTTTAAGTCTCAGTTAATAAATGTTCTAAAGATCTTCTATCTGAGAAAGGTTTAAGACACAATGCTACTCTCAGATTAGCAGGTGCAATCTCATCCTGATGTTACTTTCTGTGACATATCATATGCATTACTATGGAAACCTTGAAGTGTAGCAGTGCTATAACAGTCTGCTCTTGAGAGACCAGCCTTGGAGCTGGGCTATCATGTCAAGGGTGAGCAGAAGGTATAGATGGTGGCCAGTATCAAGTCAGGCGCTGGGCAGGGCAGGTGGCCGGCACAGAATGAGTCATGGTCAGGAAGAAGACAGGTTTCAGTAGGTGGCATTAGAAGTGATCGAGTCAGGAGAGCTAGGATCCAGGGATGGGAATAGATCCAGTACAAAAGAAGGTTCTTCATCCAGCAAGTTAGAAACACCTTTAGGCAGATTATACTGGCTTCGTAAAAGAGACACTGCTTGGGTAGTGCCTAGGGAGAAGGAAGAGCTTTGATTCTGGGAGGCTGAAGCCAATTAACTAACTCCTCTATTTACAACTCTTCCTTGTTAGTGAGGCTTTATTCCCCTCCCCACTGAGACTAAGCCCTAAAGGAGGTGAGGCGCCATCTCCTTAGGAAAGGACAGCACACAGTCTTTGAACTGCTAGAGGCCCATAGGCTGGTTTAAAGAAAAACGGGAAGCTTGTCATTTGTGTCACCAAATGTCATATTTTCACGTTTCTAAGGTGGCTGACACATTATCATAGGAAAAAAGCTCCGTTTCACTTTTTCTTTAAGTATGTTCCCAGCTGCAGACAATTCATCCTTAGATGACTTTTAACTAACAGTTTCTATTAAGGATCCTTGCAAAGTATAATCAAAATTTATCCTTCTCAACTAAATGGGGGAATTTACTGAAATTGAAAGATGTGAAATCTGTTTATTTCACCACTAATCAATTTGTAAAGCACATTATTCTCACCAAAGCTAATTTGGTACATAAACCACTTTTATAAATAATTGATGAGGTTGTTGTAAAGGGTTACTGCAAATCATTGATAAATTCACTTATTTTGCACAGTGTTTTACACTAAAGAAAGGGTCAATCAACGAACCTCATTGAAAAGCAGAATAAGAGGAAAATTATGAGGAAATTCTTTGTAAGACAACATAACCCTGCTCATGTGACTCTATAACCTAAGGCTTTTCTTTAGGAGATAATAATAGAATATCTAGATAATTAAGTATTAAGTCAAACAGGAACTTAAGACAAAGACATCATTGATAATCCAACATAAGATACCATCATCACATGACAGTTAAAAAAAAAAGTTGTAATAGGAGAAGGAAGAGAAAACCCAGGAGGGAAAAAACATTTCAATAAGAGAAAAGGCTTAGTGTTCCCTCTGAGTTGTAGGTACACCTAGGAAACCCCAGAAACTGAGGATGCAGTGGGCCAGTGTCAAGTGTCGTCATATTATAGTTATCAAGACAATTATCAACAAACATCAATATGTAATTACCACTGGACTTTTGAAATAGCGGCGTACAAGTGGGATAGTACAGGTGAGGCAACACATTACACTTCTCTAGATTTATAACAGGAAGCTTTTGATCAGAGAACAGTAAGAATCCCCCAAAGGATCACCTAGATCCTCTGTGTTATAGGCAGAGAGCGTAACTCGGCTTTAAGATGAATTAAACGATGAGGAGGGGGAGCAGTGAGGGTGGGTTTTTAGGCCTAGGCCATGCTCCATTTCCTCTGCACTGCCCTAATCCAAGCTATGTTGTGCCAGCATTACCCCAACAGCCTTGTAACTGGTCTCCCTTCATCCACACTTTTTCCCCTCCAGTCCCTTCTCTACCAATCTTTGGAAAAACAAATCCAATCCTGTCATACCCTTTCCTCCCATCCCCACATGACTTAAAATCTCTCAAATCCTTCCCACTGCTCTGAGAACTCAACTTGAATCCTGAACGCACGGGGCTCTGAGTGGCCTGGCCTGCTCTCGCTCCTGCCTCATCTTTGCCTCATGCTCCCTCTCGTTCCCTGTTCCAGCCACGCTGCCTCCTTTCATTTCAAATAACTCACACTCCACAGTACAAGACCTATTATTTATTTCTGCTTCCTGGAATTTTCTCACATCCTCCTCCACCTACAGAATTTTCAATAACCATTTGGCTCTCAGTTCAAAAGTCAGTTCCTCAGGGAGGTCTCTAAGCCCTTGTGTAGTCTCTCCAAAGATGAGGTCAAATCCCCTCTGACAGCACTGCTCACCTTTCTTTCAGAGCGTCTTTCACGGTGATAATTATACATTTATTTGTATGACTATCTGACTGACGTCTGTCTCCCTGTCTAGACTGTAAGCAGTGCAGGGACTGTTTTGTTTGCACTTGTGTCGGAAGTTCCTGCTGTTGTACCTCGCAGACAGCAGATGCTGTAAATATCTGCTGAATGAACAGAGAAATATATCATATATATTGTCAGGTTTATCATCCCAGCTCTGTGCTTTGTACAGTGCGTGTACAACACATACTACACCTAAATAATTAGTTTAGTGAATGAGTAAACATTGAACATGTTTAGCCTAAGAGCCAAAAGCAGCTCCAAACAGAAGGCTACAAAAGAGCTTTTCAAAGATGTATATTTACACTGCCTTGAGTTCCATTCTAAATCTTTAACTCTTTGATTTAGAAAAGTTAGTTTTTGATAGTAAGATATGATGTATCTTATTTTATCTTATCTTATAATCAAGTATGCCCACCATATATTTATGCGAATAAGCAGATGACAGCTATAAGATGGTTTGATTTGTAAAAGAGAAGACATGAATCAAGTCTAAAAAATTTGTTTTAATCTAAACGTGCAAAATGACTGACAGCTTTATCTAAGAAAATAATCAGCAAGTCCTGAGTTCACATTTTATTAACACTGTTTAATTTCTCTTATTTAATAACTTTCTGAAATCATTGGTTTTCAATTACAATCCTAGAAAATCTTGGCAGTTAAGATATTTATGGATAATAATAGGCACTCAATTTGCCTTTACAGAGTATGAATGGGAAACTTCAAGTGCATTTTTAAATAATGTATTCCTATAGTCTGATTACTACAGGAACCAAAAGCCCAGAAGTGAGTCGATTAATCTTTTACCTGATATTTTACTATAAATCACTACCAAAATCAATTTCTATAAACGTTATGTACTTATAGCATAATTCAGAAATAAAACATTCTAAAGATATAAGTATACAGGGACATATATTCGCTACCTTCTTGGTGTCATCTTGGTGGTGGTACTGGTGCATGAAATTGGAAGAATTCCAATCTATTTGATTTCAATCTATCTTTTTATAAACCCAGTGAAAGATAGTCTGCAATTTTTCACAGTAAATTATTCAAGTATGTAATAACCTTTTGCCTAAGCCAAATTGTACTCTTAGAAGGACTGGAATAAACATTATGAGGCTCTGCTCTAATACTTTTAGTAAATAAAAAATTCCTGGTTATAAATTTAGAATGCTAGAACCATAAAAGCACGGAAAAGACTTCATGAGGTTATTTTTATTTTTTATTCTCGAGGAATAGCAGATAAAAAGTATTCAGTGCAGAATTCTAAAATACTGTTTTAGGCCAGTAGTTTTCAACATTTCCTCACATTCACCCATTCTCATATTAAACACACTTAAGAAAAAGTAGAAATCAACAATGGAGAAGACAATTAGAATGTACATTCCCAAAGAGATTACGATAGCTCCCTCAGTTCCCCATACACTCTTATACGCAAATACCCACACCCACTGTACTGAGAATGT